ATACCATGTGTCCTGCTTCTCAGGAGGGCCAGTGGAGTGTGTGTGTGTGTGTGTGTGTGTGTGTGTGTGTGTGTGATTTATTTATTTATTTATTTATTTATTTATTTTTGGTGGAACCAGGGATTGAACTCAGGCCTTTGTGCTTGCCAGGGAAGCGCTTATTCCACTGAGCCATCTCCCTGGTCCCATGTGTGCGTGTATTTTAGGGAAGGGTCTACAGGGTGTTCAGGGTCTCACTACTAGATTGGACTTGTAGTGATCCGCCTGTTTGTAGCCTCCCAAGAGCTGGGATTACAGGTGTGTGCCACCACACCCAGTCTCTCTGTCTCTCTGTTTCTCTCTCTCTCTCTCTCTCTCTCTCTTTTTTTCCAGAACCAGGGATTGAACTCAGGCCCTTGCACTTGCCAGGGAAGTGCTTATTCCTCTGAGCCACCTCCCGGGCCCCCTCCTGGCCCCTTTTTTTTCACACAGGGCTTTGCCATGTTGTCCAGGCTGGCAATCCTCTTGCCTCAGCCTCCCAAGTGCTGGGTTTACAGATGAGTACCACCATGTCTGGCAAGTTTACCCTTCTTTATGGCAGAGTCGTACTCTATTATGTATAAATCCACATTTTCTTTACCCATTCATATGTTGATAGGCATATAGGCCACTTCCAAGATATAGCTATTGCGTGGGCGTGGCGGTACACAGGGCAGGAGTGGTGGCGCACCCGGAATTAAGGCCAGCCTGCACCACATGGCAAGAAAGACCCTGTCTCAAAACAAAAACAAAAATTTAGCTATTATGGATTGCATTGCTATGAATTCAGGTGTGTAACGGTTGCTGTACTGTGTCTTTAATTCCTTCTTTGGTTTTGGTACCTGGGATGGAACTCAGGACTTTGGGGCTTTAGGACTTTGTGCCTGCCAGGCTGGTGCTCGTGCTTCTGAGCTATCTCCCTGGCCCCTCAATTCATTTTCTTAACAGTGAAAAAAAAAATTTATTTGTGGAAATCTTTTTTTTTTTTTTTTTTTTTGGCAGAACCGGGGATCAAACTCAGGCCCTTGTGCTTGCCAGGGAAGCGCTTATCCTACTAAGCCATTTCCCCGGTCCCCCTTGATTATTATTATTTTTTTTTTTAATTTGTGGAAATCTTGAGCAACAAACAATTCAAAAGCTCCACACAGGAGAAAAAAATGAGAGCATTAAAAAAATGAGGATATTATTTTAAGCGAATGTAATATTTTCTCTTTTTTAGCAAATGTAATCTTTTCTAAAAAGAAATCAGTAAGATATAAGCATGACAGAGTGGAGTAATTCTTACAGTAGAAAGTGTGTGTGTGTGTGTGTAGTACTGGCACTGAGCCCAGGTCTTATGCAAGCAAGCTAGACAATTGCTCTAGGTAAAAACTATTCTGAAAAATTTATGAGCCCTAAGGCAATTGCAGTTTTCACAGCCGTGGCACAGGAGCTTACAGACACTCTATCGCTAGTGGATAAAAGTTATCTGTAAAAAAAAAAAAGTCTTTTGATTAAAATGGAAAGGAGATGCCAGCCTGGCAACTGCAAGGTCTTGAGTTTGATTCCTGATATCAAAAGAAAAGAAAAATGGGGAGGACAGTGTAAAGATATTTACAAGAAGGGCCAGTGAGGCCGGGGAGATGGCTCAGTAGAATAAGCGCTTCCCTGGCAAGCACAAAGGTCTGAGTTCAATCCCTGGTTCCACAAACAAAAGTGGGACTGGTGAGATAGCTCAGGCATCTGCTCAAGCAAGCTTAGGCAAGTGCTCAGGGACCACGGTTCAATCCCTGGCATCACATGCCCTGCCAGCCCTGCCAGCAGGGTGGGCTGAGCCGGCCCCCCACACACACACACTCACGATATTTAAAAGAGGAAGATTAGTTGAGAATAAAATATTTACAAAAATATTATTCCTCTGTAACCAGGATGAAGCCCGGTCAAGCTCTCAAAACTTTGGCCTTCTTAATTCTGTTCTTGTTTCTGTGTGTCCCGCTGCTCTTTGGGCCCGGAGCTGAGGCGCTCCCTCCCTCACTGGTCGTGCGGAGAAGCTTTCCTTTAGAGCCCACCGCGGTTTCAGCTCTCCTTGGTGTGGCTTCCAGCTGAGGCCCAGACAGACTTGCGCTCAGATGTGAACTTTGGCTTCTCGCTGGGGCAGAGTCTGTGTGTGGAGCTCAGCAACTGTGACGCAGTATCGGCAGCCTTGACGTGGCCTTTGTGGTCACATGTGGAAACTTTCTGCTGGAGCAAGCTCAGGGGACACTTACGCTGGTTGCCTCTAACAGCTGCTGAAAACCTGATGTTCGTCTTAGCAGCAGAGAAAGTAGCGCTTGGCCAAACCCTGCAGTGCTGGCCCAGCAGGGCTGTGGAGGGCGGCCGGGCCTCCCTCCCTTAGGGCAAGCGCTTAGTCTACTGAGCTATCTCGCCGGCCGCTTAGTTTTCATCCTGATTTTTCTTTTCTTTTTTTGGTTTCCTGTTTAAGATGGGCTTTCAAGCTTATAACAATGTCTGCCTTCAGGTTAGCCCAGAAGTCCAAGGGGTTAGCCAGGGTCTGCAGGTCACTGTACCTAAAGGGATTCAGCTTCCCAGCAGGACACTGTGTTCTAGCACAGCAGGGGACACCCCGGGGAAGGCCACTGATCCACACAGTGCCATTTCAAATTCTGGCACCAGTAATTTTAATTCCTGGAGGGGGAATAACTGGGTCAACTGGAATTTCTAATTTCAGTTTGTTGTTTTGGTTTGGTTTTTGATTCTTGCTGGCCTGGAATTCTCAGTGATCCTTCTGCCTCAACCTGCTTTTCTGATGCGAACACTGATAGCTGTAAACCTCCTTCCTAAGACTGCTTTCATTGTGTCCCCTACTGTGTTCTACTGACACTGTCATTTGATTCTATGAACTGCCTAACTTCTTCCTTCAGTTCTACGGCATCATTTATCAGATGTTGGATCCAGTTTTTATGTTCT